AGCAGGGGGAGGGGGGGTGAGAGTTGAAAGTGAGAGTCGTGTGCCCCTGAAACGAATTTATCAATTCTTTGATATCATGAGTGCAATATATCCACTTGATAATGTAAATATTGATTAAAATTCATAATTCAGATGTATGTACTGTAAGTATTCTTTATTTTAAAATTTAAATACCAAAACTTGTTGAAGGTCACTCAGGGTCATGACCTTGACATATGTCAAGGTCAAGGTCATTGGGAGAGATCCCCTACAGTGCACGACTATCAAACATATTTTAAAGCAGGGAATTCTCGTGTTATATATCTGAACTTTTTTTGTTTATAACTTTTTAACGAATAACTTTTAACAAGCGACGGCTAAAACTTATTGAAGGTCACTCAGGGTCATCTTGATAACATATGTCAAGGTCAAGGTCATTGGAGGGGGGTCCCCTGATCTAGATATTCACCATAAAATCGTATATTTTACCAAATTACTTCATAGTAGTGAAAAAAATTATTTGTAATCAGATGAAATCATGTAATCTGTGGGACAATATTTCAACTAATGGTTACCCCATTGTTGGAAGTATACATGGATTAATACTTATGCGCTCCTTTTCCCGCGCTTACTCTCATTAGCCTTAGTTTTGTTTTTATTATTATTTATATTAGGTTAAAAAGTTATTCAGATTATAAATATTGTATAAAAACGGAGTAAATTTGAACCTTTTGATAATGCCCAGATAGCACTCATGTCAAAATCGGGATATAAATTAAACGTTTTAAGAACAACGTAAAAATGTTTTAAAACGTCTTATATCCTGATTTTGGACACATGTGCTGTCTAAGCATTTTTTCAAATTGAGTTAAAGTTATCTTATTTTACAAGGAAAGAATGGTTTTGTTAAAATATCTAAAAATTTAACTAGATACCGGTTTAAAAATAATTTTGTTAGATTATTATTACAGTAATTATGCAGGACTTTCAAGTATGATGAGTGATGCTATAAAAAGTTTTGACATTTTAGCAACCAGCGTCTCATATATTTGAGCGTCTCATATATGTCTTTACTCGTATAGAGTGTGCAAATTAGCATCAAAGAATTTCATTATTTTTCTCAAGTTATAGGATAAAACCACTAATTATGGATCAATCTTTCAAAAAAATTTATATTTTTTTTTATCCAGAACAATATCAACAATTAATAAAATATATTTAATATTCATGATTGATTATAAAAAATACATCCATGGATGATTTTATTCTATTTCATTATCGTTTTATATGTTTTAATTTGAATTAAATAAAGTAGTGATTATTATCCACAACAACAACTATTAGACCTTTTGTACTAATTGCGGATCGATTCACAATATGCTTTATCCTTTTTGGCGATATTACTACATCCCATAAAAATAATAAAAATGATTTGTGCATGCAAATCGTAATATATATAACGAAATTGTAATTGATGATCCACATCTAGTTCTAGGGTCTAATTGTGAAGCATCGTGCAATTTTAACACATTCAAGTTTATTTAAAATTAGTGAGTTAAAAATAAATAATAATTAAAAAAAATTAGCGAAAATTAAACGTTTAGCAATAAAAAACATTTAAATTGTGATGCCAACGTTCCGTGAACCATGCAGTCCACTTCATCAGGGCAAGGGGCAGCCTGATACTGAGCTGTTCCTCCAGGCCGTTCCTTTTTATATTACGTTGCTTGTTGGGGTGGTGGGGATGGGCGGAGAGGGAGAAGAGGTTGTGGGAGGGGAAAGAGATGGTGGAATTGGTCGGTCTTCAATAACCGGGAGAATTGGTCTTCCGTATTTTATTTATGTTGTAGCCATTATCTCTATTTAAATTGTTAGGGTGTTTTTGTATCTCTATGGCTTCTCTATACTTTCTTGGAAAGTATGATGTACTGTTGACTATTGTGGTCGTTTTGTCAAACAGTATTTGATGTCCTGTTTCGACGTTGTGTTCTGATAATGCCGACTGCGTGGTGTGTTTTAGTCTGACATCACGTTGGTGTTCTTTGATCCGTAGGGTGACCATTCTCCCGGTTTCTCCAATGTATACTTGTCCGCAGGAACAAGGTATTTTGTATACTCCTGCGGAACTGAGTGGAGGTCTTTGATCTTTAGGATTTCTTAAGATTTGTCCTATCTTTTTGGGTGGTTTGAAGATAGTTCGGATATTGTGTTTGTTTAATATCCTACCAATCCGATCTGTTGTTCCTTTGACATATGGGAGGATGGTTAGGATCCTTTCGTCTGGTTATGTGTCAAATACCGTTGTCTTGTTTGCATGTTTATTGATTATTTTGGTTAGGTCTTTTTTGTCGTGTCCGTTTTTCTTAAGACCAGTTTGAGGTGGTTGAGTTCTGTCTATAGATGTTCTTTGTCAGAGATGGTGAAAGCTCTATGTACTAGTGAGTTGATTGCTGACTGTTTTTGTGCTGGGTGGTGGTGCGACTCGGCATATAGATATCTGTCTGTGTGTGTTGGTTTTCTGTACACTTGATGGCCTAAGGTGCCGTCAGCTTTCTTAGAGACAAGAACATCTAGGAAAGGGAGTTTACCGTTTTCCTCTATGTCTATAGTGAAGTGAATATTTGGATATTGTTTGTTGAGGAAAACAAGGAATTTACGTAGTTCGGCTCTGCCGTGTCTCCATACCACGAACGTGTCGTCTACATAACGGAACCAAACTTCTGGTTTTTTGGGTGTTTTTCTGAGGGCCTCTTTCTCAAAATGCTCCATGAAAATGTTCGCGATTACAGAAGAAATAGGAGAGCCCATTGCCGCTCCTGAAGTTTGTTCATAAAATTGGTTGTTATAGGAGAAATAAGTGATTGTTAAGCAGTGCTCTATTAGCGGGATGAGGTCGGGAGGGACTTCATGTGAGGCCTTTATTATGTTTAATGTGTCTTTTATTGGGACTTGTGTGAAAAGGGATTCTACGTCGAAACTTACGAGCAGGTCTGTGGGACGTAGTCGGATTTTTTTAATCTTTTGTATAAAGTCCGTTGAGTTGGTTATGTGTGATTCGGTTTTTCCAGTGAGGGGTTATAGTGTTCGTGCTAGGAAGCGCGATAAGTTGTATGTCGGGGAGTGTATGGCGTTAACAATCGGTCTGAGCGGGATGTTTGATTTGTGTATTTTCGGTAGTCCGTATAGTCTTGATGAGAGAGGATTTGTAGGTTTTAATGTTGTTTTTGTTTCATTGGAAATGTTGCTTTTCTCCACTAGGATCTTGGTGTTCTGTGCGATTGTGTTAGTTGGATCTCTGTCATGCTTTTTGTATGCTTTGTCCGAGAGAAGGTTCTTTATCTTTTTCTTATAATCTGATGTGTTCATGACTACTGTCGTGTTGCCTTTGTCGGCTGGAAGCATGATGATGTCTGCGTCCCTGTTCAGGTCTTGGAAGACCATTCTCTCGGTTATTGAAGACCGACCAATTCCATCATCTCTTTTCCCTCCCACAACCTCTTCCCTTTCTCCGCCCATCCCCATCACCCCAACAAGCAGCGTAATATAAAAAGGAAGGAACAGCCCGGAGGAACAGCTCAGTATCAGGCTGCCCCTCGCCCTGATGAAGTGGACTGCAAGATTCACGAAACGTTGGCATCTCAAGAATGGATCTGGACACGGAGGAAATCCGCGAAACGCATAACCTTTATACAGAAAGCACCCGTGAAAGCCTCAAGAATTTGTTTAAATTCTTTTATAATGAACTTCGTTTGTATCTTTTACAGTTAAATGTATATTTAAAAAATTGTGAATAAGAGGATGTACTATAGAATGATCATATTTCATCGCATAATACATTAGTGGCAATTTTCAATGGTATTAATATTTCTATGATTTCGAAAATAAGAGTCCAATTTCTTTCGGATATGTCCAATTTGTGTGCAGTTGATGCAGGCGTAAGCAACCTATCTGTGAGAACATTTTGAATAGGGCTTCCATTATTATATAACCTCTCTAACATATAATAAATTGAATTCCATCGCGTTTTACAACTTTGAATAAGTTTTAATTTTTCTAATCCAAGTTGTTCTTGTTTTGCTTTTAATGCATTTGCAACAATATTAGAATGATTAAAATGACCAACTTATTTATTTGCTTGATCACAAATTTTATGGATAGGATCTAATGTTAATGAGTGATTAATACAAAGTTGAATACTATGGGCAGCACAAGTAACTCCTTCTTTTACTAAAATGTCTAATTGCTTGATAGAATTAACTGCAGATTGTAGATTAGCGGTAACAACAGCTACAACTTTATCATTTAAATTCCAATCAATTATAATTTTAGTAAGTCGTATAGTCATTTATTGTAGTGTGCCTTTCATCCATTAATTCTCTAGTCAATATAAATGATTTAAAGCAGAATTAATTGTTAAGAAAATGGACTGTGTCTGTTATATAGGAATCTTGATTCCTCGATGACCAGCAATTCGAAGTTAATGCAACAGAAACTGCAGATTCTAATTCTGTACAGATTTTCTTTTTCACTTGTTCATAAATAAGTAATAATCTATTTTTTAGTGTTTTGAAACATAAAATATTATATTCGGGCTCCATTACGTGCATAAATTCTTTAAAACCTTGACTGTCTACAAATGATAGTTGCAACATGTTTTGAATAATTAATTTCGTTACGACTTGATGAATAGCTTCAATTCTGCGGCGGTTACAAGAATGCTGATAAAAACGATGATAAGGGCTATATCCTACTGATATTGTGCTGCTTTCTTCATTTTCATTATTAAAATTAGAACCAGCACTAAAAATATTAAATTACACCTTAATTTTGTTGAGTATATTGCATAATCGTATTATTATTGTATATTAATAAATAATGTAAAATTAATAATTAACTAATTATCTCCTTAACTCATTATCTCCTTTTTTATATTTTATTTTATTATTTAATCTATCGAGACCTCTGGCATATTTTCAGGATTGGCAACGTTACTTCATAAAAATAACTTTCGTTACCGTTCTTTTTCCTAAAAGGTAATTCGTTACGGTTATCCGATATTTGCGTGCGTGCGTGCGTGCGTGCGTGCGTGCGTGCGTGTGTGTGTACGTTTGCAGATTACAAAGAATACTATATTTTTTTTATTATAATATAATTTATTCTTGATATCTAATGTAAGACTGTCTTAAGTACAATCTTAAGATGTCATGAACCAATCAGAGAATCGCACTAGCATCTCAAATATGTAACTGCATTACCTATTCGTTACAAAAAAAAGTAACTTACAACGGAATTAGAAGTAATGCGTTACTTGCCAACCCTACATATTTTATTTAATATATGCTCACTTAATTTGTCGTGCATTTATATTTATATTATGAACTGTTTCGAAGTGTCTATTTAATGTCGTTGTAGATGAATGGGTTTTGAACGTTTCCTTATAAACATTGCATTGCGCTTCATTATTATTACATTTAATAAAAAATTCCCACACGTGACTTTTTCTTTTTGACATTTTTGTAATGTTTGTATATTCAAGTCTCGTGAAAAACTGCTCTTCTGTGTTTCCAAGGCACTATTATATATTTGTTTACTATCCGAACGTCCGAACTTCAGAAATAACGAATTATCATACAGATCACTGCTTAAGTTCGAACTGTTCGAACTGTCAGAAATATTCGAATTAGATGCTCATTTTTTTCAACTTCGAAATTTTCGAATAAATCGAACATTCAATATGTTCGAATCTTTTGTCTAAGCCCTAGTAAAAACTAAGTGATTCGTATTTTTATAATATCATAAAATTGCGTTTCCATCTTTATTTATTATTTATTTGACTCTAATGATACGTATCACTTGTACAAAGATTTGATATTAACAACTGACGCTAAGTTAAATCCCATATCAAATAAAGAAAGAATATAATCTATGTGATATTATCTTGAATTGTTATGCAATGAAACCTACGAATAAGTATATATATATATAAACTAAAATGGCTTTAATTCTTCTTATATGAAATTTTTTAATCGTAATTCATTCAAAGTAACACTACTAAAAATATGAACGTTATATTTAAAATAAGGAAAATAAGATACATTCTCATGAGAGTAAAAGTATTCAACGTGTGTATACATGCGATTGGATGGGGTGATCCCGATTGACCACGGCTCCCCTTG